TTTAAAACTAATTCTATCCAGAAATACAATAATAAAAGTCCAAAACAGGAAGCTCTCTTAATTTTGCTTCATAAAGCCAGAACATGCTTCAAAACTTTTTTTTCCAAGACCCACCAGAATTCTCTCGATGTTATTTTACTCTTACGCTGAAACGGTCTCGATCTCGATGCTGCCTGTAGCTTCTGCTGACCCCACCGGCCTCTCATCACCCTCTCTTCACTCTGACAGATGCTCGTGAATGTATCCTGTGCAGCGGAGACTACTGGTCCAATGATGCTCACGATGCATGCGTACCAAAGATCATCGAGTACCTGGCCTTTGGGGAGCCGCTGGGCATCACTCTCATCGTCATCTCTGCCTTCGGAGCATTGGTTACCATCGCTGTTGGGGTGAGGATCATAGATGGAAATACACGTGACGCCTCTGTTGTGGAGCACGAGGAGCTAAAATGTAACATGTGGTGTTTCAATGTGCTCCTCCAGATAGTGTTTGTCTTGCACATCGGCACACCTCTGGTGAAGGCGAACGATACACTGTTGAGTTTCTCGCTGCTTTTATCGCTGGTTGTGACCTTCCTCTGCTCCATCGTCTTCCTCGGAGAGCCTCAGCACTGGAGTTGCATGACCAGCCAGGTGGCCCTGGCTCTGGGTTTTGCTCTCTGCCTCTCCTCAATCATGGGTGGGTGTGCTTTACCTCATATATGTGCTTGTTTGTTGTTTTTTTCACCACATGCCTGGCAAACATATCTCTGTCCATCAAAATCTGCAGAATACCTGCGGGGAATTGCAGAGAATATTTGAAGTCTAAACCTTGATCTCAGTAATTTTCATTTTTTTTAATTTTTCAAGGTATTACCTGCCGTCCTGAGGTGCTGTAATGTTTTTTTAAATTCTACAATAACTCAGTTTGGTGTTCCAATTTGTGTTTACTTCAGGTAAAGCAGCGGTGTTGATGCTCAGGGCCCAGGCTCTGAAAGCAGCTCGTGCCAGAGCCAAAGCCGCCACCAAAGCTGCAAAAGCAGCAGCCGAGGCAGCGGCCAACAGCAGCGGCCCTGACATCATCATGACCAACACAAATAACAACAGCGATGCCAACGTCTATGCCAAGCCTGAAGTTGACATTATCACCTGTGCCCACCAGAGGGCGATAGCAGCCGTGGCAACATTAATACAGGTACCTACAGTCACAAGAAGACCCGCTTCTTACTTGACATTCTACTCTGACCTTAATAATGTTGGTGGTGTCGGTTGTATTTACGTGATAATGTGACAGATGTTTTCCTGCTCATACCCAGGCGATCGCTTGCACAGTGTGGCTCATCGTCCTCCCGCCTCACCCTGTGAAAAACACCTCGGCCCAGAATATAAAGATCATCCTGGAGTGTGACGAAGGCTCTGTGGTCTTCATCTGCTGCATCTTTGCTTATGACATCCTGCTGGCTCTGCTGGCCTTCATCTTTGCCTTCATTGCCCGAAAGCTGGAGGACAACTTCAGGTAGGAGACTCACAGGGGGCGTCGGATCCAGGAGCCAGAGGGGCACTGGCCCCAACTGAAATCTGATCGGCCCCTGAAGTATTTTTTTTTTTTATAAACTAGTCACTTTCTAACAATAAATATGAAAATTTTCTAAATATATTCAGTGATGTGTGGCTTAATTTAAAGCTACACAGCAAACAGTAAACAAGGAATGAGTAAAGCATTAAGAAAACAATCACATTAATATCAGTACAGCACCCAGCTCATTGGGAGCAATGAAAATAAAACAAATACCTTAAAAAACATTTCTCATTTATCTTGTAAAACTTCAGCGGTACATTGCATGTTTTCGTTATCCGTCTTCCAGCGAGGCGAAGTGCGTGACCTTCGGCATGCTCGTCTTCTTCATCGTGTGGATCTCCTTCGTCCCGGCCTACCTCAGCACACGTGGCAAGTTCATGGTGGCCGTCCAGATTTTCGCCATCTTGGCCTCCAGCTTCGGCCTGCTCACCTGCATCTTCCTGCCCAAGAGCTACGTCCTCTTGATCAAACCCGAGCGCAACACGGAGGAGATGATGAGGCCCCGCCCCAAACTACGAGACGGAACCTCGACCGGGACCTCGGCCTCGCTCGCCACAGCCGCTACTGAGATCAACGCTACGACTGCGTCCACAGCCATTGATGATTAGTGGAGTAATAATAAGAGATAACCTGAGCAATGAAATTCAAAAAATGTAAAGTAATGTAGATGTCCGCTGTCCCACTGTGTCACTGCTTCACTAGCTCAATATTTAGTTCCTTCTCTTAATATTCACAT